AGTGGGGAGCTCTCCGCGCAGAGGGGAGGCGCAGGCCCCGCGTCCACAAGGCCTTGCCGGCCCGGTGCCAGCCGCTTCCCGGGGGCGGCCTCGGTTCCCTCCGGAGCAGGAGGCTGGAGCCGAAGTCAAGGCCCTGTGATGAGTCCTGTGGTTGCCCGGAATCGGCTTCCTGAGGGTCGGGACGTTTCTGTAGTCAAAATCTCTTACTCTGTGGCTGTGCGAGCTGGAAGCACCCGGGAGGCGGAGTTTCCTGCATCCCTAGGGCCCTGGGGCATTCATTTCTCCCAGGAACTTCTCAGGAAGTGCAGCAGCCCTGGGTGTCACGTGGGAGAAGGGAAGGAATGCAGGGCGCTTTGTAGAGAAGTTTAGTTGAACCCTAGGCCTTCCTTCCGGAAGGTTTGTTTTTACTGTCGGGGGACTGACTGGGCAAAAAGAAAACCAGAATAATGAAAAAGGGCTAATAAATTGGCGTTTCGTACATCTGCAGGTCAGGTGTGTTGTTTATGCTACAACCAATTAATTGTGAGAACCCGTTTGTGATTTTTCTTACCACCATATGTAAACACTAAAAAAGCTTACAGGATCATGGGAAAATACAGGAAAGTTTCAGGATAGAATCTTCTATAATTCCACTTATTTTTCATTTTGCAGAGGCAAGGGATGTTATGGGAAGGAGAAGTATTCAGTTTGTAGTGGGGGCACGTTCGCTGGGTTCTTCAGAAGAACGGCAAGCCACAGCAGTCTGTTGTATACCTGATCAAAGTTCTCAAAGAGGTGAGCCGGGGATTTTGCTCAGTGGTTCCACCAACTGCCTGGAAAGCCCAAGGTCCTGAGTTCATCCCCCGTACCCAAAACAAAACAGTTCGCAAAGAGATAACATCCCACAGTATGTAACACGTATTAATACCCCGTTTTCCAGTCACATTCAGCCTGGAGAAATGAGGTAATATGCCAATGTATTTATTGGTGACATTTAATGGATTAATATGATAGGGAAGACAGGACAATTCAATGGGACAATTCTAAGCACTCCTCTATCTGGGTTTTTTGTTTGTTTGTGTTTTGGTACTGGGGATCACACTTGGGAATGGCAGGCGGCAGAACCGCTGAGCTAAATCCCCAGCCCTCTATAATTATCTATTGCATGAATGAGTAAGAGTGGATGTAGGAGCTTTGGAGTAAGGCTTGACCTTAATCAGTGTCCCAGACTTCCTCATATTATCTTCCCCTGTTATTTCCCAGGAGATTGTGCGAGCACGTGTGTGTGTGTGTGTGTGTGTGTGGAGAGAGAGAGAGAGAGAGATGTTATCTGTTCATGGCAGTAAGTCACGTAGCTGACAAACACTGTGGAAAACAAACCAAAAAGAATAAACTCTGCTATAAGACAATATCCCCCTTTAATATTCCACAGTTCAGGGGACTTGCCACCATATAGTCACAACCTCAGCGTTTCAGTACTGTCCAAAGCTGAGAAAAAAATAAGTGTAAAACCAGCTCAGTGCTGGTATTAGGACCATGTGTGATCAGTACTTACTGTCACTATTCTGTTGCCTCTAGTTCTGGCAGTGCTGAGTATTTTCCCCATATAAGAGGAATAAAGAAGTCACCCTCCTCGCTGTTATATTCCAACGAATCGAACAAGAATATTTTGAACACCACAGAAAAGGTGATGTAAAGTCTGAGGGGACATCTTGCTTAGATTTGTCTTTTTTCTTCTTGTATGTTTTATATGTGTGTATTCACAATATTTATGACTGGGTGTCTCTATTTTTTAGACAGTTTGTCAAACTTTTGATGATGATCAGCCATGTGATTTTTTCAAGAAAAGGAGTAGGGTGACTGAATCTCATCAGAAAATCAGGTAAAACATTTTTACATAATTTCCTTATCTTGCCAAAGGTATATTTCCTCAGTTCTTCAAGAAGACTGAATATGTGTGGTTGGAAAAAGTATGTATTTGGATTAAAAAAAATTTATGTTTTTCACTTAGCATAAATGAGTGGACAGAGTAGCTTTAAAAGCATTATTTGTCTGTAGCTTGCAGAGGCCATGATTTTAGCAGCTAGCAGAATCTGAAGTTTTGTGCACATCTTTAATCAATTTTTTATATTGGTTTCTTATGCAGAAGGGATACCATTGGTAGTTACTTTTTGTGGGTGTACACTGACAGCTAGTTGTAAAGAAAAGTTTTAACAATCTCAGTTGTAAATCGTAATGGTGGCCATTCCTTCATTTCTTCACCTTTGTTGAGCTCATCTGTACTACTGGCCATGGTTTAACATACTTTATTAAGAATAACAGATTTTAAAATAATTGCTTAGGATGGTTAAAATCGCCGGGTGAGTGGATTTCTGAGCTTTCCAGAAAATATATTTGCCACTCATTTCCATTTACAACTGTCTGACCTCTGTCACAGTGAAGGATTGCTATTCTTAACTAAATGATTTGTTCTTGGTAAATTAATGAAAAAGGCATTTTCAGTTTCTAATCTCTGATGTGAGATTCCACCTGAGACTATATTACCCCAGAAAGAATATACTGCTGTCTTAGGAATGCACACAATATTGATTCTTTCTCTCTGTCTGCCATTCACAAGATGGAATTAATCCAGTTTGTCATTTGTGTTGAATTATAATGGTACCACATGATTTTTATTCCTGTCGTTTTAAACACAGTTGTCTTGAGTGTGTTTCCTATTTGAACACATATTAGTAAGTTTGTGTTTAAGGTGGAAGTTACTTACGATATACTACATATTAAGAGTTTAGCTAGCTCAAGAATCACCATGTCACTGATTAAACAGTGTGAGACTTGCATTTAATATTTACATTTAACTCAAAATAGGTATACACACCAAAAAGCTGTGGGTTTTATTTCTGAATGTTTTTGAACCCTGTTGACCATTAATGAAAGGGACTGAGAGTTTTTCCAGATTAATGTTTTTCTAGACACACTTGGTCTAAAGTTATACACACTGCGATGTGCTATTGATTCTCTTAAATGCTGATATTCAGTGTAAAATAGGATCTGTACATCTACTTTTGACACATGGACTCTGTTTCATGAGTAGAACATTACGTGGAAAATGGTCTGTAAAACTACTGCTTGTGAAAGGCATTTGGAGGCCTGATCTTTTCTAATGCCCGGAAAGTACAACTTGAGGATTCTTTTGATTTCTCTACTCATAGGCAGATTACATTTTTTTGTCATATGTAGTAGTAAGAATTGCAGTTTTCATTTTCACAGCAGTATGAATGCTGGCCCATCTTGGAATAAAGTACAACATTCAAAGGATTCTTCAGGAAAAAGACATAATAAATCCCAAGTACCTTACCTGTCTTCTGGGCTGAGAAGCAGCCTCGTGGGAATCTCTCAGCCAGCTGCAGAGAAACTTAAAGAAGGCTTTCTTCCAGAAGGGAATCCGGAAGGGCGTTTACTCAGCCCCAGGTGCCAGGGGGCCTCAGGGAGCAAACTGTTTCTTGACTTCCAGTCCATGAAAATTATTAAGGACGGTGCTGACGAGGACAGTGCGAGTGATCTGTCGGACTCTGAGCGGATCCCCATTCCTCCTTCTCCCCTCACACCACCAGATCTCAATCTGAGAGCTGAAGAAATCGATCCAGTTTGCTTCGATCTTCACCCAAGTCAGAGCCATGCCAAACCCGAATACTCTTACCCCGATTTCCTGCCACCCCCTTTTAGCTCCTGGGACCTCCGAGAGATGGCTGTGCTTCTGAACACAGACTACAGGACCGAGGCCGTGCCCCGAGCCGGGGGCTCCCTTGGGAAATTCATCGACAGACTCCTTCAGCTTGAGTGGCTGCAGCTCCAGACCGTGCAAGGTGAAAAGGCAAAGGGGTCCAAGGCCCGACCTCCAGCTGCCCAGGGGGCTCCCGGGGCTCTGAAAAGTCCTGGGAGAAGTAAACTGATTGCTGGTGGTCTGTCCAAGCCTCTGCCTTACCTGGAAGGGGCTTCAAAATCAGGCCCTGCCCGAAAGAAAGCTTTTCACCGTGAAGAAACACATCCATCCTATTACACCCTTGAGATTTCCCCCAGACCCACTGAGGTGCCAGGCAGTGCCAAGCTACATCCCCTCGAGCAAACCCCTGAAATGAGGACTGAAGAGAAGAAAAAAAAATCCAGTAAAAGCACCAAGCTGCAGCCCAGGGATTTGTCCTGCAGCGACAGCTGCCCCAAACTGGAAGCCAGCGGGAACATCCGAGTTCCCAAACAGCCAGCAATGATTCTGGACTCTTCCAGAACACAGGCGCATGCGAATCTTAAGAAAAAGGGGACTGCAAACAACTGTGCTCATACAACAATATCCAGTGAGAAGAAACTCAGAACAAATGGAGCAAAGCAAAACTCCTGTAAATTAAAATGATATCTGATGATGAATTGTGAAGACCAGCAGATACCTAAATACTGGAGCTCTCCTAGAAGCTACAATGCTGTGAGTGTTAAGATGTTCGACGAGTGGTGTTGAAGTAGTTGTTTGGCCCTTTCATCCACTCCCCACCTCTACCTCCAGGAGAGGTATTTTCAGAGTCCAGTGTCTTCACCATTATGCCATGATAGTTATGTCCAAGGTGAGGTGTCTTTCAGTGGGCCTTTGTTTTGACAGTCTTAAGCATTTGAGAGCCCATTAGGTAAAAATTAACCAAAGTTATGTGCCGTGTAAAGGACTAAAACACCAGTACTCCAGGGGCAGAGTCAAGGAAACTTCTGGAATGGCAGCCAGTCCATATAAAACTGGTAGTTTAGCTCCCCATTTTCACTTGCACATAAGTCTGTGAAACAGTGCATGCTGTTTTAAATGATGCGAAATCCTAGCATTTCAAATTAGGGCCTTCTGGCCACTGTGTCTTCTGCTTTTGCAAGCAGATTTCTGTTCATTTGACTCCCAAGGAGAAGTGTCAGTTCTTCGCAGAGTTAGGGAGTATGTGAGTTTCTATTCTGTGCGGTCCTTTAAAGCTGAGCTGCTTACTCAGTAGAAACAATGGCGTAAAGAATTTTATACTTCTCTCTCTCTCTCTCTCTCTCTCTCTCTTTAAAAGATGCTTTAAATGCAGAGGTGATCGTGGAGTCCACTTCTGAGTTCTCTAAACTGAGGTTAAGGTAATTGGCAGTGTGGATATTGCTGTTTGGCAGGGCAAGAATGAACTATGTGGCACCCTAAAATTTCTGGGATGTAAAATTTCTCCAAAGAGGAAGCATAGCAAACAACCTTTTAGAAGTTGTGAATGAAGCTAAAAACACATGGAAAGTAGTTGAATGTAACACTTGTTTAGTTATTGCCTTGGGATCCAGATCCTCTTGTCCATAGTCAGAAATAAGGATCTGTTTCAGTTTGGAAAACCAGGGTTATATTGTCTGTGGGGCCCAAGGGCAGGAGAGGACACAGCTCCAGGTCGAGGGCAGTGGGTCGTGGATGAAGTTGCGGGCTATGCTGTGAACGTCCGTATCTTCTCTGTGGCTTCCTGTTCCTTAGGGGCATCTTCTTCACTGCCATCCACTTGTTCCTATAGCTGTGCCGTGAGCGCTCTGTCTATGGTTATCTTCAAAACCTTTGGTTGACTACTTCTTGTTAGTTTGTTTTCCTGGCTGTAGTTGATCCCTTTAATTAGTTACTTTGGGTTTTTGTTGTTTTTGACACCCATGTTCCTATCTTTTCACCTTTGGTGTAAATGAAAAGCTTGGCAGGTTGCATTTGAAAGTATATTATCAAGGGCCGGGGATTTAGCTCAGTTCGATCCCAGTACCAAAAAAAAAAAGAAAGTATGCAGTGGCCCACAGACTGTTACTGCCCACTGCATAAGGACAAGAAATGTTTATAACTGAAACAATGCAAAAAGATTGCATATTAAGATACCTTTTTAAATTCAGATTTTAATCAGTAAACATGTGAAATTTTTTATGGTAGCCTTTTTCTTTGAGGACTTCAGTTTTAGATCTGTGCAGATTTTCTCTTAACATTCCTTACCTCTCATACCAGCCGACTGGAGAAAGCATGCTCTTGTAGAAAGGTCTTACACCGTTTTATGTGAACAGAAGTGGTACATGTAGTAAGCATTGCTTCCACAATCCTCAAATATATGCTAACTTTTGTCCTCAGTATGTGCAGTGTATTTGGAAAACAGCACCATTCTTAATGTTCCTTTCCATGCCTGGTGCCTATGCACCCCTTGTCTACCCTGCTACTGGTAGCACAGATGTGTCTTACTTGTAGCTGGCCCTGTTCTTAGGATTCTCTGCTGGAGTTTACACAGCTCTTTTTGAAGTTTCATGGCTAGTATTTTAAGCATGATATTACACACATTTGTATCCATATGTGCTACTTGCAGTAATACTAACGGTTACATGTGGAGGGCCTGCATCCGCCTGGGTACTCTTGGAGGCCTGGAATGGTGAGGATGATGTTTTCTTTTCCTTGCCCTGTGTGTGTCTGAGCTGAAGATCATTGTGATTAAGAAATTTGGAGACTATGCCTCATATATTTGTTCCTGGCTCTTTTAATTGAAGCTAGTTTAATCTGGGGAAGAGTCATAATGTCACATATTCAGACCATTTGAAAAGCCTGAAAAAGTGACTTTGCCTGTTTACTTTTTGCCCCATGTTGGTCATTTATTTTAACCAATTAATGCTGGAATGAATCAGAGATTCTAGTGGTTATTTATTTTTAAAGTTAGGTTATTACAGAGCTAAACACAATTTTAATTGTATGATCCCTGACAACACATGTCTAACACATCTTAAGGAACCAGATGTTGCAGATAAGAATCTTGCCTTTTTGAAGTAGGCAGTGTTGGAAAGTTAAATCATGAACTCATTTAGTCTGTCAGGTCAAAACCATAGAGGGTCCTGCTATTCTGGTGACAGGAGTCATTGTATTTCCAAGAAGTGCCTCTCATTTCTGAGGAGTTGTTTACATACACCTTGCATTTAAACCAGTTAAAACAATTGGAGATACAGTAAAACTGGAAAAGAATGTAAAAAGAATATTTCAGACTTAGACTCAGTTAAGGGAAAAAGTTGTAGAAAAGTACAAAAATAGACTAAAAATGTATACCAGTCTTTGCTTTGTTTAAATTTAGCCTATTTCCCCAATCTTTAAATAACTCAAAAAGTTGAAGGTTTGTAACTGATTTGAAAGTGGTACAGTTGGTGGCCTGTGACAAAATGCGGAGGAGATAGCACCACTGGTCTTATTAGAGCTAACTGCTAAAAGGAAGATGGTTTGCAGTAGCTTTTGGCCTGTTAGATTACTTTCTAGGAATAAATAAGAATTGTCGCTAAACAATAATATAAATGATATAAATATTGCCTGTTTCCTCATTCCTTTATGCTCATTTATACAAATTACATAAAAATAATGACACTTTGTGGTACTGTATTTAAAGGTATTATTTATTTATGTACATGTACAGGGCACTATTTAAAGTAGCCTGAAAATATTCAGCATGTTTATTTGCTATCATGATTGTATGTTTGCTTCTTTATGTAATAAAAGAGAACTCATGTAAGTTTTTGTGAACTTGAATTTTTCATTCCTTGAGAGCAACTAAACTGTAGAAAAATGCCCGGATTTTTCTGGCACGGTTTTGTTTAGCTTCTTATGCAGTTTTCTTTCTGAGTTTGTCTTTAATTTTCTTGCTGCTTTTTTCAAAGAATTGCCCGTGATGAAATTTTGTTCTGACTGCTGTGTACACAGTAAACCATGTCCACACCCGAAGCGATTCAGAGAAGCGTTGGAAGCCAGGGAGCATTACTTCCTGAGCAATACTGAGGAGTGGGTATGTGAGCAGGGTACAAATTCAGTAGGCACAAAGTTGAAGTAACGTCTGCTAGAATGAGATCAACCTTGACTTGCACATCCGGAAGTGAGTCAGGTTTCCTTCAAGGAAATTGGCTGGTTATGGGGCACTTTCTTCTGCAAATTCTCCGAAAGGTCCTTGCTTCTCTTTTCTAAGCTCACTTCTGATAATTACATGCAGTCTGGAGTCTGCAACATGTGGAGTAGTGGTGGGAGGTTTAAAAATAATTTTTGTTATGATTGCTGAAAGTTTTGTATCATTTATACTGAAAATAATAATTATTGTATCAACCACAAGGTGGCAACAAAACCTTTTCTTAGAGCTGTGAAATTGTACTTGTGTTTTCTAATCAAATAAAAGGGTTTGTACTGGAATCCAAAAGGAATGGGAGAAAGACTGACCTCAGACACAGGCAGATTATTTAACTTTGCTCTCCCATCAGGATTAAATGGCTTATTATATATAGTTAAGTGCTGTGAAGGATCGTATTTCATTCACTGAACATTTTTGTATTGTAACAAACTGATCTAGTATCCAATAATAATGAAGTAAAATAAATCATTACTTTGGGGAAAAAAAAAACTCATAGATACCCAGTTTCACGAAATACAATTTAAATTCCCCTGTCCATATGAGTTTAATAGTTAAGGGATTAGCTATAGTAACCTTATAAAACATGTGGAATTTAAAAATGGGATTGTCATGAATATAATTAAAATTGCCCTAGCTCAAATGGTAGTTTAGATTATATGCTGAACACTCGAACAAGAAGAAAGGGCACAGAAGCAAGATCTTTCTGACCTCCTGCTCATGTTTCTCCAGCTCCTCTTTCTCCCCTAAGGGGGCCACTGGAATTGGAGTTCCTCTTCTACAAGGCGAGTGGCAGAAACCAGAACCTCTCCCCTTCAAAGCCAGACATAGAACCCAGGAATGTCACTCTCACCTTCTCTTGCCCTTTGTGTACAAGCTGGCCAGGAAGAGGCTGTGTGGCCCACCATATCTGATAATAGGGTTGGAAGTCCCTCATCTGGAATGGATTCTGCCTCATATTCAGAAGGAAGGAAGGAGTGCTGCCCAAGGAGGCCGAGAGGAATCTGGGCAGGTACTGGGTGTCCCTGCCCTCCGTAACCTTAGCTCATGTTGTTTTACCCACTCACGTTTCTGCACGGCCATCCATGCTTCGTCAGTCCTAAGCGTAAGAACAGTTTTCTGTGGGGATTGAGCCCTTCATTTCTGAAGGCTCCCATGTCATGAGACTTTTATTGACTACATTTGTTATGCTTTGCTCTTGTTAACCTATCTCTGTCACAGGAATTTTGGTCCTGACCCTCATGATGGGTGAGAAAATTCATCACACCTTTTACCCCTACAAGAGAATACTAATAATGCATGCTTAATTTGAGGCTACAATAGGCCAACACAATTTCATGCCTTGCTACTTGGATTGTGAGCCATTCTGCAACCTCTGAGCCAGTCCGTATTTTCCCAAGATCCTTGGTACATCAAGCCTCCTTCCCTAATGCATCAGTGGCTGGAACACCCCTCTTCTCCGAGAAAATCACTGGTTTCTGTGTTGCATGCAGACCCTAAAGGCACTTGGCTGGCTGTTTAGCTGCAGAACTGATCACTGCGATAATAGTTTTATGGCCTCTAATAATCCTCATCATAAGTAATTGCTCGGGAGTTGAAGTTATTTAGAATGCTTAACCACCTGGACCAGTTTTCTTCACATTCATACTCTTTTTTCTTTTTTTAATTTCGGGTGAGGGAATCTCCATCTGCTTTTCATGGTGCTTTTTTTCCTTTCCATCATTTTGGCCAGTGTAGGTCTTCACTGCCTGTGGCCAGGCCTCTTCCCTGACTTGATAAAGCAAGGAGAAAGAAGACGAAGGCTTTGCTCATTTCTAGAGTGTTCTCAATTTTCTAAATATAATAATGAAATGTCTGTTATTTATATGAGGATAAAATGGCCTGCCAAAGTTAGTCAAAGACATTTTGATTTTAAAAAGAAGTGCATCTTTATCTTAGTAAGTACTTGATGTGGGGAAATCAGCTAAGCAGCCTCTAAGATTGCTCTTCTCATTTTCCAGAAAACTTAAAAACATATAAATAACTGGGGAGAGCTGGGGAGAGCTGGGAACTCCACCGTCAATACTGACAGCGTGGAAAGATACTGGCTCATGGTGGAAAAGACTTGGATCTGTCATGTTTGGCGGTTTTATTGTTTTGTTTTACCCTCTTTTCTCATCTGTAACAATTAGTTGAAAAAAATCAAGGGAAGAGATTAAAATATCTCAAAGGATTTTTTCTGGCCAGCTATTGGTGGCTTACTTAGAATACTAAACATAAGGAACCCACTTTCTGATCAATCTGTGTGACTACTAAAGCAGTTAAAACAGTCATTGAAAATAAATCAGGACATATAAATTGTTTAACACAACAATCTAATGAACTTCAGCAAGATATCAGGGTAAACTAGAAATATAATAGGGGGTATGGAGTAAAACTGCACTTAATAGTAATTTGGACTTTTCACTGATGGAGTCAAATTCACTTTTCCGATTTTCCCCCTAAAGTTGTGTGATCTTGCCCTTCATAATAATGTTCTTTTCAACAACAGACCACACGGAGGGCCAGTGGTCCCATAAGGTTATAATGGAGCTGAACAGTTCCTGTCGTCTAGTATATTTAGTGTTGCTTTTCCCAGCTGGGATATATTCGGGTACACAAGAGCTTAGGATGGTGTTGCAGTTGCCTATGGAATTCCGTGCAGTATTGTTCCCAGGTGTGTAGCAGGGGCGACGGGCTAAGCCACGTATTGTCAGCTACTCCATCTCGGTTTTGTGAGCACGCTCTGAGTTTTGCACGAGGAGATCTTCTGTTTGCTGGGACACTGGCCTTTGTTAAGTGATGCGTGACTAGATTATAACATTTTTCAAACACTGAGGAACGTTGGAAGG